AGCTCCCCCTCCTCTGCCTGCGAGACGAACCCCAGCCAAATCTCCACCAAATGCCAAGTCGTCCTCGTCCTCCTCCAGGAGGTCACATCCTGTGCTTCTTCACATGCCCTCTAGTCTCGTGGATGGGGATAATAATAGCTACCTGGACTTTAGCTGTGATGCATTGAATCAAGATGAGCCATTGTATGTGAGTTCACACTTTGCTGATGAACCGCTCTACCAGTTTTACACTGCGACAGTGCTGGAGCGAGCAACACAGAATCAAGGAGACTGCTCTTCAGAAGATGATTATGAGGTAATACTTTTTTGGGGTTAAAGGATAATTCTTTACAGATGTTACTCAGATAATCTATGATGATTTTACGTGATAGATGACAGTTGTAATATTGCTGTTAGATACACAGAATTGAAACTATATTGTAGGAAAATTAAGGATAGTTTTTATGAGAATGAATAAACAGATTTGTTACATTGAAACATTTTGATTTTCTATGGTGGGCTTAATCAGAATTTAGGAAGTTAGGAGTTGCATAAAAGTATCTTCAAATTTTGAGTTTTTAAGATTCTCTTTTGTTAATGTGAATGTTCCTGTCTATAGGTAATCAATGATGGACATCATAACTCTCCACCGGGTAAACTACAAACCCGTCCTTCTGCAATGGAGCTTGTGACTCCAGCTGATGGACGACGGACCCTGTGGTGCGAGCTGCCTGAAGTCATAGAGAGTGGTATTTTAAGTAAGTGAAGCTTGTGGTGATAATTCTTGTATTTTATAGGTTACTTTAGGATGTTTATTTGTTTTTATATATGTATTTTTTTTTAGCTAGCTTGCTTCTTTGTTTGTTTTTATTTTGTTACTGTTCCACCAGAGCCATGCATATAATGCAGGTTGGATTCTCATAATGGTGAAGCATAGTGCATGTCATTTATAATTATTCTAGGGACCTCAATATAACTGATCTCATTTCGTCAGTATGATACCACTTAAGTCACCAATATCTTTTCTAGAAACTGATCTACAACTTTCCCATTTCTCTCAGTATATGCACAGTTCATGTCAACCATTAATCATTCAAGGCACTTATATACCACAGATGGCATTCTCTCAGTAACGATTGTAGTTCATGGCCCGTATTATACACTTCAGGTCAAATCAACAGCCAGGAGAAGAAGATGCAGGAGGCCATGTTCGAGATGATTACCTCCGAGGCCTCTTACCTGAAGAGTCTCAACGTCTTGGTCACGCATTTCGTACAGTGCCCAGAGTTCGCTGTAGATGAAGGCGAAGATGCGGTGCTGACCAGAAGGGAGAGACACATTCTCTTTTCTGATATTTTACCAGGTGAGTGTTTGTCTTTTTTTTTTTTTAGTATGCATTTTGTTTTTCGTTGTTCTATTAACAGCCTTGTGACAAGTAATTCATTAGTCTAAACTATGTGCAATATGTTGTAAAAGTTAGCCATTATTTGGAAGTGATACTGTTTTACATATAGAAAAGTTCTGTCTCTTGGTTAAATTATTTTTAGATATTTTTTTTTTATACACACTAACTGAACTTTATGCCTTGCAATAAAGTATTTTTTTTTTACTGATCTTGAAAGTACTGAGACAACATGTTTTGAAATTGCGTTTTATAGAATGTAGATTTCCTACAGAATATAGTATTTGTTAAATATGGAAGAGGAGATTGTATATTGTGTTCTCTATTAGGTCATGTTTGAAGATTCAGTTTAATGTAACTTTTTATCTTCCTTTTTCCAGTGAAGAGATGTTCTGAAATGCTCCTTGCCGACTTGGAGAAACGATGGCAGGAGTCCGTCAGAATCTCAAAACTGTCAGACATAATACTGAAGCATGCTCACAACCACTCACAAGCGTATGTCAAATACTGTTCCAATCAAATCTACCAAGATAGAATTCTAAAAGAACTGAAGTAAGTATATGTGATTATGTTACTGTATTGTCATTGAAAGTAGATTTAGTGTTTTTGTGTAATCTGAGTGTGTTTGAAAGTTGATTCTTTTTAATAGTTTATATATGTCAAGTAGTGATAATGATAATAGTAGCAATAAAGATAAAAATAATGATAATGTTAGAAATGTTAATTGGAATAATCCAGATCATGTGATGATTGATAGCAATGATGTAAGTAATATTAATGATCATAAGTGATAGTAATGATTGTTGTAATATAATAACAATAATAATACTTTGTTTTCTTTGCAGAGAAAATAATCCAAGGTTCTTAGAGGTGCTAAATCGCTTAGAAAGTTCTCCAGTGTGCCAATCCCTTGCCATGCACTCCTTCCTCATGCTCCCCATGCAGAGGATCACAAGACTGCCCTTGCTCGTGGATGCCATATTTCACAGGCTGGAGTATGGCACTCCGGAATGGAACGAGTGTAAACTAGCCTTAGCTACTCTAACGAAGGTCAGTCCTGAGGTGGTCTATTCTTAGAGGTTGCAGTCAATTGTTTTTGGTAGATAGCTGTCAGGTGAAGGAGAGGAGAAGTTTTCTGGAGGAGAATTAGGAAATGCATCATGAAAACTGGGCTTGGTTCACCACTCTGCCTCAGTCTTAATTACCAGTGATGAAAGATTGCAGATGTTGTTGATATAATACATCTGTCTTGATGAGTTGGAATTGCCTCAACAGATTGTAGCTGAATGCAATGAGGGAGCCAGGAAGATGGAGCGAATGGAAGAAATGCTCATCATTTCCCGTCAGTTGGACTTCCGAGAGGTGAAAGCCATTCCCCTCATCTCGGCGTCCCGTTGGCTGGTGAAGAAAGGGGAAATGACGAGGCTCACCTGGAGAGAGAACGACGTCAAACTCACCTTTGGCAGGAGAATATCCAAACACACCTTGTATTTCTTCCTTTTCACAGACTTGCTAGTAGTTACAAAGAAAAAGAGGTAAGCATATGTGTTGCTTTATAGTTCTGTATGTGATTTGTTTTCTCCATATCACCCAAAATGTCTTTTTCCACTGAATATGATGTAGGCATAGTTGACGGTTACCAATATTATATACTTTTACTGCTTAGGTTGTAAAGTTATTTTTCCCAAGTTACAAAACCATATCAGTAGAAATAACCTTCATTATGAATGTTCTCAACAGTGATGACCAGTACATGGTGCTGGACTACTGCTCGAGGAACATGGTGCAAGTGCTGGAGCTGGACGCCGCAGACAAGTTCCCCGGACGCATTTTGGACGGCCACAAGAACCTCCTTATTTTGACAATGTTGCAGAACCACGAGAACAAGACTGTTGAAATGGTTATTATTATTGTTATTATTGGTGTTATTATTCTCATTATTCTCATTTTCTGTCGGTATGATATTGATTTATTTGCAATGAGTTGGTTAGAATACTATATTGGCACTTTCTATGGAAGAAAGGTGCCCTAGCCTGAAAGATAAATTTATTTCCCTTTTTTATTGTATTAGGTTGTATCCTGTCCAATGGAGTCTGACCGAACGCGCTGGGTGGAAGCAGTGACGCCCAGGAGCTCGGACAATCCCGACGAGAGGATATACGAGGAGTGGGACTGCCCTCAGGTAAGCTTTTGGATAAGTTTAGGAAGAGAGAGTAGACATAGAGGTGGATGGATGAATAGATTAGTGAGTAATAGGTGGGTGGGGGAATAGATGGGGGATGGAATGAATAAGTGAGAGAGTGAGTCATTCAGTCAGTGAGTCAGTCAATCAGTGAGTGAGTGAGTCAGTGGGTGAGTGAGTGACTAAGTGAATGTGGGAAAGAGGGAGCGATGGATGGATAGATACTTAGATGAATCAGACAGTAGAGTAGTGAACAATGGATGGATGTGGGTGAAAATAGATGTCTTAAGTGCTGTTGGATTTTCCTAAGATTAGAATGTAGAAAGATGTTAATTGATAGACAGTTTATGTTCTGATTTTATTTTATTATCATCTTGGTGTTTATACTATGTAGATTCTCTCTGATTTGTTATTAGTAGTCTACAGTAATAATCATGGTAGCATTTATACTATGTAGATTTTTATTGATTTATTAATAAGAATCACGTTACTTAAATCTGTCTTCTTTCCTCTTGTAGGTGCAAGCAATTCACCCATATGTTGCCAAACAGCCAGATGAACTTTCTCTAGAAGTATCTGATGTTGTTAATGTTTTAAAGAAGATGGCAGATGGTGAGTAATGCATAGCAGTGTACCAATCTAAACCTTAAACCTTTTTTTGTGTTGATATTGATATGAGACAAGTTAGAGGACTAGCAATGGTTATGCTGTTACTTTCCAAAAATATGAACTGACTTTTTTTTCAGTAGCTCAACAGAGATGACTTTCAAATTTTGTACTTGAGACGGTAATAGTTATTTCTAGAATTAATTGACTTCTAAGCGAGTAACCAGAAAAACGTAGAAATGGAATAATGTAATGCATTAGTTGTATTAACCAGCATGATTTTGCAAATTAACCTATTGATGCATGTAAATATTGTTAAATAAATGAGTGTCATATCTCAAAATTATCTAATGATCAGGAATAAATTATTTGATGCATGGGATGCCCTGATTGTGCTTTGCCAAGGAAAGCCTGCAAGTTGCTATTGTGCATGAACTTTGCTTAGGCTTTTTTCATGTTAGAAGGAAAATGGCAAAAGCTTTTTCTTTGTGGATGTGCAAGAGTCAGTAGAAGAACGTAGGTCGGCCTTAATTGATTAGTCGTTTTTCATTCAGTTCAAGGTTTTTACATACATCCGGCATTAGGTAGCAGTCACCCAAGAACAGTGGAGGCCTAGCAGACAAGAGTGCAAACTGATGCCCATCGAGTTGAACAGGTTGAGTTAGTGACCGTGGATTACTGTGTTGGCACTGGTATTGGGAATGAATTTTTGTGTAAAAATAGGAGTTGATCTTCGAAATACTGTCTTCACAAAATCTTTTTTTTAAGTGTTTTTTTTTTCTCTCCCAAAGTTGTCAGTGTCATCTGTGAATGAAAGACAACCCTTCTCTTGTGTATCATAACTGAAGATTTAATGCAGGCAATTTTTTTTTTCACTTTTAATTTTGTTATTTACTGTTTGGTTGCTCTTTATACTTCTCTATACATCTTTTTTGAAGCCAATTGTCAGTTGCACTGTAGATTACCAATTATCTCTCTTTAGAAATTGATCAAGATACTTGAGGTGGTCAGTCACACATAGAAATAAAGAATGTGTTTAAAGGTCATAGTTTTTGAGATGGAGAACATTAAGAATTCATTGAGTGAGATGCTTTAATGTTGACAGTTACATATACTATTGTGAATGACATAGATGAAATAAAACACCAATATTGGAGAAATGGAACCAAACCTTCTTTTTACTCCATTCCTGTTACTGGAAGTGTTTTTCATCTGATTGTACATAATGCTGTGTTTTGTGTGTGACCAAGTGTGTCTGGACAGAGTATTTCAGCACATGTAGTTTGGCTTACTGTACTGTAATGTGCATGCTTTCAATGTGCTGTGTTATTTAATTGCAGTACATAAGTTAGTAGAGCCAGCTTAGGGTATGCTTGAAATGTGTTCCCATTGAGGTCTTTGCAATAGAACAGCTGTGAGTGACTGATAGAAATTTCTTGGAATACATACATGTTTTCGAAGTTGCTATCATTTCCCCCCCACATTTCTTCCCCTTTCTGTTTTTCCATCTTCATTCGCTTACGTAGTGATCCGTTTTAACAATGGAGCAGCTCTGAAAATATGTCGAAAGTGTACTGAGTGGTGTACGCTCATGGATATAGCGAATAGAGAAACTGAAGTAGACATGGTATGGTACTTCGATATTAGATGTGTTTCAGCCCATAATCATGTCTCTAGCCTTATTGTGTGCATGCGTGTTTTCCAGTGTAAGATTGTCTTCATCTTCTGTTGTATGTTTCTGAGTGATTTGATTTTCTTCTTTATGCATGATATTTTTAGGAATGTGTGAAAAGATGAAAGCTTAAGCTTGCAAGTGCTTGATGCTTTTTTCATGTATGTTAAGATATGCATGCACACACATCATTGCAAATGCTGAGGTAAATAGGTAGATGCAGCTTTAAGCTTGAATTTGCACAAACACAAACTTGCACGATACAAGACCAGAATGAGATCAGTAACATTTAATTAATAATGGGGATTATAATTATTATAATGCTAACAGTACTAAAAATATGTGATGCATATTTTGCATTATTACTAATTGCATGATTTAATTACTAATAAATGACAGAGAATCTGACAAGGGTAATTCAATAAAGCATGCAATTATGATAGTAAACGTGATGGAATTTCCTTTTTTTTATGAATAGGTACAGTATAAAACGGTTGGCCTTTTGTTTGACAAACAGACTATGAAAGTGATAGATACCTTTGACATATTTGGAGAAAGACTACAACTTTTTGTATAAGCTTGTTTGTATTTTGAATGATGATAAGTTGCTTAAGCAAGAATTAAGTCACAGATTTACATACTCTAATGAAAGACTTAGTGATTATTATGACAATAAGTGTTTTCACTTCAAGATTGATTTTCTCAATATGTCCATAGATCTGAACCATAGATATAGATTTAGTTGATCTAACTAATGCCTCCTCTCCAACACTAGGCTGGTATCAGGGGGAGAGAATCCGAGACCAGGAGCGAGGGTGGTTCCCCGGGAGCTTCACGGTGGAGATCTCGTCCACCCACGTCAGGGCTCGCAACCTCCGCCAGCGCTACCGCCTCCTGGCCATCTCCGGCTCTCTTCTGGACGAGCTGAAAAGGGAGAAGGAACGCTACGAGAAGGAAGAGAAGAAGAAGGACCGCAGAAGAACCCTGACTATGAAGGAGGTGATATCGTCTCAGGCACTCAGTTAGGAGGACAGGAGAAGGGAGAGAACTGGACACTATTTCACATCCTTCCAAGTGGTACCCCTTTTTTTTTTTTTGCGTGTGTTATGTTGAGTACGTTGCAAACTGAAAAGAAAAAAAAAAGAGAAAAGAAAAGCACATTCAGAAGACACTGATGTACTTATGGATTTTCAGTGAAAGAAGCAATAAACTTTTGTCATATAAATGCTGGCTTTATTGATTACAATAGTGCAGAAACATGTACAGAAACTCCTTTTTTGTTAAGCTTTTCCAATATCACATCCTCCAGTGGTGGCAACAAGACAGAATTGCGATGGAGTAACGCCTGTGAGCATAAGTAGTCAGTGATGGGAAATACCTTTGTGGAGAAGCTTAGGTAACTGAGAAATATTTTTTTTTTTCGTTATAAGATGCCTCCAACAGTATGGATTTGATTTTTTAATCTTCAATTTGTGTAATGGTGAAAGGGGGTCAGTATTACACACAAATACAGCATATTATAAACAGACCCACACAAACATGTATACATACATACAGTATATATATATACATATATACTCGCATATGAATGTGTGTAAGCATATATTGTTGTGATCTCTCTCTTGTTACAACTTTTAGAAGTCTATTGAGTTTTAGTTTCCAGGACTAACAAGGATTTTTCAGTTTCAGTGGGATGAAAGGAGTAATTGTGATGTAAAGTGTATGCAGTGATTGTTACTCAACTAACATAGTAGTTTGTTATCCCAACATTGGAATGTGTAATAAATATTGTGTATGGAACCATAATCAAAGGTAAATTCAGATATTTATAATTACAGTGTTTGAAATACTTAACCAAATATAAAGGGCAATCGTTTTTTTTTCTTTGTTATATAGTTCTTAAAAAAAAGGTATTTAAGATTTCTTTTGTATTTGAGGTACAGCAATGTGAATAAGATTATTGAATATATTGTTCATTTAGATCCAGTATTTGAACCTGTATATAAGAATCTGGTGACATTCCAGATGTAAGTTTATTGTGTATATAATGAGAATTTGATAAAATACAACAATTTTAAAGATT